GACAATTCAAAATATACTCTTTATAAAAATTGTAAAGAAAAATTCTGTTTTTTGGTATGCAGAAAAGAAGCAATTCTATGGCAGAAATGATTTGCTACACTGCTTTGGAATTTAGAATATTCTATTAAATAAGTGAACCTTAAAGAGGCATACCACTTACAATTCAACATCCCTAATGTGAGACCTTTTCTCTCCCAAGCAGCTCTATTTTCAAAGTTTAGTTGGCCCTTTAGAACAGCATTATCTTTTAAAATACTAGATATATACTTAATAGAGGCAGAGTGTATCATTTGAGAGGATGTCTCAAGATATTGGTGTCTCTTTAAATCTGTGCTGCCTGACAAAACAGGCACATAATTCAACACTTGGTTCAACACCATTAGTAGCTCTAGCCCTATGTATGTGGTACCACAGTACAAGAAGCATAAAGTACGCCATACAAATCTTCCTCAACTCACTTTCAAAGGAGAGTACTTCGTGCATTTTTCATAGTACTTCTCTTCCATAAGATTTTAATGGACTACAGTATGTCATGTATATAGAACTCATGATAAAATAGAGACAGGCAGTACATGATTGAGGTAGCTGCAGAAATAGACATTCTTTTAAAATGTAGAATCTGAATACACTTTAGCTTGAAATGTAAAAGTGATTTTGCTAAAATGCTTTTTATAGCACGAGGAGATTTATACCATAAAAAGTTGAAAAGGATTATTCATCCCAAATGGATTATTTATTTTTGAAATGAATATTTATAGAGAGCCTCTGAATTAGGCAGCAATCTTTGCCTTTGTTTAAACACAATTAACAATATGCAAAGTAAGGCAGCGCTTTTTAGAAAATATGTGAGCATAAGTACTACTATTGGCAGTCATTTCAGTATCTGCACAGTGAGTACGTAAAATGAAGAACAACTAACCTGTTATGCTTTTAATTAATGAACACCTGTACACAATGAAAGCATGGCTGGTTTTATGGATGCATGAAAATCCAACCAGGCAATTAATGTTTAATTTAGAATTCATGCTATTGAAAAGGCAGCAGAAAAAACAACTTATAACAGGCAAATCACAAAAGCGGAGAAGTTGGATTTTCTGTGGATGAATCTTTTCCAACATATTTAAGCCATTTTATCTTTTTTTTTGGTTGTTTAATTTTTATATGGAAAAAGCTGAACATCTTTTGTATTGTTATTTAATTTTAATGTGATAATTTGATCATGTGGAATTTTTTGTTAAATTAAACTTTTAAGTTCAGGGGTACATGTGCAGGTTTGTTACACAGGTAAACTTATGACATGGGGGTTTGTTGTACAGGTAATTTCATCACCCAGGTATTTAAGCCTTTGAGCATATACCCAGTAATGGGAGTATCGGGTCAAATGTTATTTCTGTTTTTAGGTCTTTGAGGAGTTGTCACACTTTCTTCCACAATGGTTGACCTAATTTATACTCCCACCAACAGCGTATAAGTGTTCCTTTTTCTCTGCAACCTTGCCAGCATGTTATATTTTGACTTTTTAGTAATAGCCACTGTGATTGGCATGAGATGGTATCTTATTTGTGGTTTTAATATCATTGCATTTTGCATCTCTCTGATGATCAGTGATATTGAGCTTTTTCTCATATGATTGTTGGCCACATGTATGTCTTCTTTTGAAAAGTGTCTACTCGTGTCTTTTGTGCACTTTCTAATGGGGCTGTTTGTTTTTTCTTGTAAATTTCTTTAAGTTCCTTGTAGATGCTGGATATTAGGCCTTTATCAGATACAGAGTTTGCAAACATTTTCTCATATTCTGTGGGTTGTCTGTTTACTCTGTTGACAGTTTCTTTTGCTGTGCAGAAGCTCTTAAGTTTAATTAGATCCCATTTGTCAATTTTTGTTTTTGTTGTAATTGCTTTTGTCATCTTCATCATGAAATCTTTGCCCGTTCCTATGACCAGAATGGTATTACCTAGGTTTTTTTTCTTGGATTTTGATAGTTTTGTACCTTACATTTAAGTCTTTAATCCATCTTGAGTTAATTTTTGTATATGGTGAGAGGAAGTGGTCAAGTTTCAATCTTCTGCATATGGCTAGCCAGTTATCTCAGCATGATTTATTGAATAGGGAATCCTTTCCCCAGTGCTTGTTTTTGTCAGGTTTGTCGAAGATCACATGGTTGTAGGAGTTAGTCCATATTTCTGCACTCTCTAGTCTGTTCCACTCATCTATGTCTGTTTTAGTACCAGTACCACGCTGTTTTCGTTACTGTAGCCCTGTAGTACAGTTTGAAGTTGGGTAATATGTTGCCTCTGGCTTTCTTTTTTTTGCTTAGAATTGCCTTCACTATTTGGACTCTTTTTTGGTTCATATGAATTTTAAAACAGTTTTGGTAGTTCAGTGAAGAATGTCAATGGTAGTTTAATAGAAATACCATGAACTCTATACATTGCTTTGGGTAGCATGTTCATTTTCACGATACTGAATCTTTCTATGAGTGCTAGCGGGTTCCTGGGTGCCTGTCTCCCTGGGGGCATTCACCACAGTGGCGGAGGCAATGTAGTGGGGGTGGGCCTGGGGTGAGGGTGGTGGTGGTGGTGGGGTGCCTGATGATAACCGTGTGCCTCCTTGCACTGGAGGCGGTGTTGGCTGGGGGCGGGGCACTGACATGTGCAGGTCTGGGTGTCTTCTCTGCTGTGCAAGCCGGAAGGGTCACTCAGGGTGGGGGAGGATCTGCTGTTCTCTGCACATTCTGAACGTAAGGGTGGGGTACTTGTTGGGGTGGGGCTTGCTGGCTCTGAACCTACCAAAACTCTGTCTGCAATGGCCGTTGGCAGGGGAAGGGGTAGCAGACTGCACTACCAGGTGCTGTCAGGGCAAGGAAAGCAAATCCAAATCCCTACCCCTACCCCTAAGCAGACACGCCCAGCAAACTCATGTGGGAGTTGCCCCATGGAGGAATGTGGGGGACGCTGCGGCTGCAGTGTGGGGAAAGGCTGTGCGGGCTGGTGAGTGGCCATAGGAGCCGCCCCGCTTGAGCTCTCTGCCTTGCAGTCAGGGTCCGCCAGAGCAGAAGCTATGATGAGGCCTCCCAAGGCTCCCGAGGGTGCTGTGCATGCAGGTGTGGCCATACTGAGGCCCTCGGAGAGGCCAGCAGACTAAGGTGTTGCTCAGGGCGGACTGGCCCCATCTGATGGGCAAAATTGCCTTACAGAGTTCAGGACAGACAGAAAGTTCCCCTAGGGCTAAAGTCTCCTATGGAGCAAGTCGGACCTAGGGGGATGGTCGTCCCATGCTCCACTACAGATGCTCTTGCACCAAACCCTCTGTGCTCCACATCAGCTGGCTTGCAGCTCCTACCACTTCTCTATGCAGCTCTCCCTGCCAAGTCCAGAGTCCGTGGTGGTCTAGGGGGTCTCCTTCTGCTAGGGTTCCAGAGGCCTGTAGCAAGAGTGGGTTGCTCCTTGCCAGTTCAACTCACCAATTCCCCTAGAGCTGTTGGGGGCTAGAAATAAGTCCGGGTGTGCTGTAGCCCCGCATAGGGTTCCCAACTTTCTCCCCCAATCAGCCCAGTCTCTGTGTCTTCCCTCTGTCCACTCTCAGTGCCTTCCCTGTGAAGATCTGTTAGGAGCACGCCAGTCCTCTGGGTCCCTCAGTAGGAGCTGTTCCATTTATCTGAGTCTAGTGGGCCATCTTGGGATTTGTTTTCTTTTTTTTCCCTCCCTCCCTTCCTCCTAGAGAGCTACTTTCCCTCCATTCTCCTTCCTTCCTAGAGAGCTACAGTATGTTTTAGAGAAAAAGTCAACTGTTTTGATAGTTTATTTTAATGATTATGAGCTTTGTTCAATTTGTTAGAGGTCAAAAGTCATACTTTTGGTTCAGTTCTATAACTATAATACACAATGGACACAGTTAATTCTTCGTCTTGTATGTACATGCGTATCTGACCTATGTACTGGTGTGCATAGGGGGCTATAAAGGAAAAAATTGTTCCCTTTACAAATATGACATATTGAGTACCAGTACCAAACACTGTTCTAGGTTTCAATGTAGGGCAGTGAACCTATATGACAAATCTTCATTTTCAGTGTACTTTTATTTGAGACTCATGTATTATCACTGAGCATAAAACATTAGCATTTGTTATTTTTTCCTCCCTGTACCTATCCCTGATCCTCCTCTTCCTATTGTTTTCATATTGTTCTTATCAACACTATTAATGTTTGTGTTCCCCTAAGTAAATGTGTAACCAGACACTTTCTTAATATACAATACTAGGGGGACATAAAAGATAGACCTCAATAAGACTTTGTCCAACGTCATAAAAAACCTACTCAGAAAATTTCTGTATTCCTTATTTCTTTATTTTTTCTGCTCCTTCCATGTGATAGGCAAGATATCTTAAAATTCAAATAGAGCTGTGAATTCCTCCGTCATTAGAAACATTTTATCAGATGTGCTTTTTCTAAAAGATGAGAATAATGTAATGTTTTTAAAGTCAAGGAGCAGACTGGTATTTATTTTACATATAAACTTCAAGAAGGCAGTAGGTCAAGGAAGGACTATGTTTACTTTTTGCGAAGTGTAATTTATATGGGTTTGGTGGTGAAGGGTAACATAAAAGAGTTCTAAGGAAGTACACTGTAATTCAAGTAAAGTATCACTGGAGAAAAAGAAGGTGAGCAGATTTATTCTGAATCTTAAGGGTATGCTATATTGAATGAGTATATTATTAGAAGAATAAATGAACTACTTCAGTTTCATGGTAACCTGAAGATCAGTGCAAGGATTGGGAGAAAATTTAAGCATTTAGATGGTTGTATTTGTGGAAACAAGGAGAAAAAGTTCTGAGAACAAATAAAATGAAATAATTAAAGAAAATAATTTTATGATGTTTAGGTCAATGAATCAGGACAAATTATGCTAAGGCAAGCAGTGGAGCAATCATGGTGAATTCACCTCACTTTCAAGACGATTAGAAGCATACCAAATCCAATCTGACTATTCCAAATGTTTACCTGCTTCATTTGTGCGGATCATTCGAGATGGGGTGCTTGGATCTCCTGTCCCAATAGGGTTGGTGGCCACCACTCGAAATTCATATTCCACCCAGGGATTTAGGTCCACAGCCATGGCTGACTCCATGTCCCCTGTTATGATTTCTGGGACTATAGAAAGAAGGAAATTTCATGTCATTAGGAGGACTGGAAAAATGCTACAAATGGCAATCAAGAATATTAATGCTACTGACAGAATCAGCAAGCTAAAGCATATTTCCTCACAACACGTGGTCATGGTGTCACCTCCAGTGTCATTAGTAAAATGAAAATCAATCTTCAGGGAGTAAGCACTTGCATATGTCAAAGTTTGTTGGAGTTAATTAAAACTCTTTCATTTTATCTTTACACAAAACTTGCCATTATGTACACTAATAATTATTTCATCAATCCCTCAGCCCCAGATAAGGGGCCAATTAGAACTATAATTTAAACAGTTTTCTTTCCATTTCTAGGAAATTTCTTGAGCAGTTTGCTCTCCCAGTTCTGGCAAACATGTTTAGTCACTTGGTAATTCCAAGCAGCAAATTAACAGTATATCTGTTTAATTTAAAAAACACAGTTTGTGATATCTGAGTAGAAACACTGAATTCTTCTTAGAGTGACTTTTGTACTACATTTAAATTTTTGTCAGGGCATAACATTGTTTGTCAGTACAGTTACCATTGGTGAAGTGTTTATACATGGCATACATGCTTCGTTTTGGACTGCTTTTCTTGTTCACTCATCTCTGCTGTCTAGGAAATGTTTCTAAACATTTGTTACAGGAGTGAAAAGGCAGTATGTGGAGAATCTCCCTTGCAGCATGCAAAGATCCTCTGAATTTATATCAGTCTTGGATTTCTTTGTAGGCATGGCAGTAGAGCTGGGATGGGAGTTTGGGATCTTGATTTGAGGACTCAATTCTATTTTACCACAGCAAGGTGGAATGAAATCGCCTTGAATTTTCCATGAAAATCTCTTCTGAAAGGTACCAAAAGAATGTTACCAAATAAGTAGCTCTGTGAAAGGTGAATGCTCAGAGCATAGGCAGCGTGAGCTGCTGGACAAATCTCACAGCACTGCAGAGCTGCTGTGTTTTCTTAAAGCAGTGACAGGAAGACGTGGGAAAACAAAAACAGTCTGTCCCCTCTTGCTGCACTGGCAACTGAGCAGTACGCTTGGAGTCTAAGAGGTGGGTGAGGGAAAGGCCACTGTCAGAACACAGCTTGGCGAAATGTCAAGCTATGCTTGACAAACATACAAAAGAGAAGAAGAGATTTCCAGATAATGCTCAGCCTTCTGTAGCCCAGAGCCTACACTGTATCACTAATACTTGCATTGGGAGCACCAGGACTTAACATCACTGTTTAATTTACTTATATTTATGTAAGTCATCTCATGTAACTCCAGACATCTGGACCATGCTCATCCCTTTTATTCTAATCTCCAGAGAATTCTGCCACTTTTCTCTTCTGCCCAGCTCATATCTCTTCCTCATTCTTGAAGTTCTTCCACTGTGACACTTGGAATTTATCATCTGTCATTAGCAAAATCCCCTGTATACTTAATCTCCTCTCTGGGCATATCTACAACTTTTTACTCCAATAGAAACTAAGAAATTTTACCCTTATTAAGGGGTGGACCTCTTAAGATATCATGGAGAAAAAGAACCAGCCCTTTTTTCCTCTCTCTCCCACATCTCTAATGGATGTTTCCCATCAGCATACAAGCATGCGGATGTTTTTCTCTGAAAAACAAAACTAAGGTCTCAACATTTCCTCTCCTTCCGGCCTTCACTCACTTTCTCTGATTCTTTTGAGAGTTGTCTGTGCTATTACTTACTGTCTGCAATTATTTTTCTTCCATTCTCTCTTGAACCCATGCCAGTCAGACTCTTACCTCCAGTTTTCCATCATATTGCCTTCTGTCAAGATTTCCAATGAATGGTCTCTGTTACTGAAACCTTAAGGCCAGATCTCTGTTACTCATCTTACTTGAACTATCATCATCCTTTGACACAGTTGATCATCCTTTGAAATACTTTTCGAAACTTAACTTCTGGTTCTCTCCCACCTGATTATGCCTTCTCAGTCTCCACTGCTGATTTCTTTTTGTCTTCCTGAGGCAACTTGGCTCTACGATTTTCCATTTTCTTACTCCATGGTGATTTATCCAGCCTCAGGGTTTTAGATACCCTCTATGCTGATAACTCTAATATTTTTAATGAACCTCTTCTCTACATTTCAGACGCATATGTTCAATGGCATATTATTAATAGACATTACTATTTGAATCAATTTCTGCAGTATTCTTATCCAGGGAATGACAATTGCTTTCTTATAGATGTCGTATCCCAAATCTTCAGGCCATCCTGGACTCCTTTCTTTCTCCCCTGTCCCACTCCAATCCATTAGAAAATTATGGCATCTGTGACTTCAAACTATGTTGATATCTCCACTTATCTTGGCAGAAAAATTTCTTTGAAGAGTTGTCTATATTAATTTTTTTATTGTCTCTGGAACTCATTCTTGTCAGACTTTGATGCTGATGGCCTACCATCACATCAAAACTGCTATTGTCAAGGTTACCAGTGACCTCCATATAGCTAGAACTAATGATCAATTCTCAGTCTTCATTTAACTTGACATCTTGGTAGCATCTGACACAGCTCATTAGGCCTTTTTCTTCAATAGGCTTTATTTCTTTTTTTTCCACGGCATGACATTATTTTGGTTTTCCTTTTACCTCAATGATTGCTTTTATTCTGCCTCCTTTGGATGGCTGTCTTCTCCACAACTTCTTACGTTACAATGCTCCAGGGCATTATTTTAATACTGTTTCTTCTTTATTTTATACTTACTTTCTTGGAGGTGACATAGGGTCTCATATTTTAAAATATTATATGACAATAATTTTCTAATTTATAACTTTATGCTAAACCTCTCACTTAAACACCAGACTTATATACCCAGATGCCTACCTGAAATCTCATTTGGATGTCTAACAGATATATCAAACTTAATATGTCTCAAATTGAATTCTTTATCTTATTGCTACCCAATCTGTTCCAATTATGAAGGTTTCTCAGGCTTCTCCGTGTCACCTAATGATAACTCCATCCTTAAGTTGGTTAGGTCAAAAATCTTGTAGTTTTCCTTGAATTCTTTTTCTCTCATACTGTTTACATCCAGTTTGTTGCAAATGCTGTGGGTTTTAGCTTCCAAATAGTTTCAAATTCTGACCACTTTTATGACCTCTGTCATAAAAGCATCATTGACCTGTGTCACCACCAAGCTTCTGTCACATTGAAGCACCATCATCTCTCCACCATAATAATAGCTTCCTAAATAGTTTAGTCACTCTTCACTTATCCTTCCCGTAAGTCTATTTTTAACATAGCTTGAATGACTATATTAAAACTTAAGACTTAGAAGACCAATCCTCCAATGTCTCATTTCTCAAAGGGTGAAAACCCAAGTAATGTATGATCTGGTCTTGCCAATATCTCTCAAAACTCATCTACCTTTCTCCCTAAAACTCATTCTGCTCCTGCCTCACTGATCTTCTAATGCTCTTGTGTATCATGCTCCTAATACTTTTTCTCTAGTTGCTCCTTATACCTGGGCTGCCTCCCCCATACCTCCTATAAAATGTACACAAATATACCTTCTCAGTAAGGCATACCCCAACCACTTTATTTCAAAGTGCAAGCTTCCTGCAATGGACTAAATGTGTCCTCTCAAAATTCATATATTAAAGTCCTAACCCCTAATGTGGCTGTTATTTGGTGATAGAGCTTCTAAGGAAATAATTAAGGTTAAATGATGTGGTAAGAGTGGGGCTGTGATCTTAGTGTCCTTATAGGATGAGACACGAGAGCTCTCTCTCACTTTGTGTGTGTGTGTGTGTGTCATCCATGTGAGAATACAGTGAGAAAGCAACTTGATGTTGGAACTCCAAACCTCTAGAACTGTAATAAAGTAAATTTCTGTTGTTTAATCCACTCAGTCCATGGAATTTTGTTATAGCAGCCTGAGTTGACTAATACACTGACCCTGATCATAGTACTTCTGATTCCTCTTACTGCATATAATTTATTTTTCCCCCCATAGTACTCATCAACTTCTAAGATATTATATAATTTACTTGCTTATTATGTTCTCTGTTTATTGTTTGTCTTCACCTATAAGAATACAATCTTCACAAGGGCAAGGATTTATTTATTTGGTGTTGTTCATGTACCTAGAACACCTGATATGCCGCATGTGCCTAGAACACTTCCTAAAAGGTGCTTGGTAAATTTTTATTAAATGAATGAGAGTTCAAATTGCCTGGTGTGAACAGAATTGGCAATATTAATTAATTCTGCTTGAATCTTGATGTAATTAGTATAAGCTTTAATATACATATAAAAATAGTCTTCCTTCGAAAGCTATGCATATTTATATCCTCTTAGTCATAACTATAGACTTTAAAGACTCCCTTTCCAAGCCCATATCCTTTCCACCACCCTTTATTCCTCTCTTTAAAGTGAAAAAAAAAAAAAGATTTGGAAATTCTAAATTCCTTGTTACTTGTTGTAAGAGATATAAAATAATTATAAGTATTAATTGAAGGTATTATTATTTTTGGTGAAACAAAATGCAATATGAAAGAAAGTAAAAACTTTCTTTTTTATACAATTAGGATTTTGATTTGAAATGCAATATTGTGGAGATGAAGAATAATGGAGGATTTATACCAAAATAAGTATTTTAAAAGTCTTGCAGCATCTTTTTATAAATATATTATTTCCGGAACTTTAGGGACAAGTTGGTTTCAAAGAAAACATTGTGCATCAGAGAGAACATGACAGCAACTAAAGACAGTGGAAGACCTTATATTGACTTAGGGGAAGCATCTTGTTGAAATGCCTTTCCAAGCAAAAGAATCACATCCAAGACTATTTATTTTGAGACAAGATCTTATTCTGTTGTCCAGACTGGTCTCAATCTCCTGGCCCTAAGTGATCCTCCCACCTCAGGATGTCTCAAAGTGCTGAGATCACAAGTATGTGCCACCCAAACTCAGCCACCAATTTAATTAATAAAATACCAAATAAATCTGTTCACTTGAAAAATGGAACCAAT